AGAGGTAGGAAATAAAAAGGGGAAGATGGGGAGTCACTCACTCACTCTACCACTAGTCACCCCTTCCCTCACTCTGTCACCAGTCATCCCCTCCCTCATTCTGTCACTAGTCACCCCCTCCCTCCCTCTGCCACTACACACCCCGTCCTTCACTCTGTCACTAGTCACCCCCTCCCTCCCTCTGTCACTAATCACCCCCTCCCTCTGTCATAAGTCACCCCCCCTCACTGTGTCTCCCCCTCACTCTGCCACCACTCACCCCCTCCCTCCCACACTCTTCCACCTGTCACCCCCTCCCTCACACACTCTGTCACCTGTCAGCCCCTTGGAAAAGTAGATTTTTAAAAAATATTCCACACCCTGCACATGCAGACACACACTAACGCTCAATACACATATGCATTCACACTGATACTATATACAAAAAAGCACATGTAGTCATCCAGACATGCATAAGTGCATTTATACAGACTCAAATACAAACATGCATTGAAACACAGGTCTTCACAATACACACATCCAAAGGAATGTCATATTATATGAGAGTTATATTTAACATTTATTTAATGCACACATATTTGGACTTCAAAGGACATGGGATCTAATTTTGCCCGGGGGCCCCAAAGGCTCTCAGTCTGCCCCTGGTTTTATATTTGTCTGTTGCCTGGTCTATTAAAGGATCAAGCACCCTTCCATTTATTAACATTTAGAGATCCTCACTATCTCCCCAGTTGAGGATACTTTAGTATCATAGAAAAGCATGCTTCATTGCTGGAAGTCTTAACTGCAAATATTATTATTATTATTATTTAATTATTATTATTATTAGTGCTGTACAATTGGTGGACTAACAGACACGTAATTGTAACCAGACAAATGGACGCACAGGAACAGAGGGGTTGAGGGCCCTGCTCAATGAGCTTATCATCAACACTCATACATTATCTGAAAATAAAAATTCAGATCAGCTGTTTGAGTCCTTTATAGGATTGTGCCATTCTTATTATGCTTTACTTGTGGTTTTCACCCTATAGGTTGTGCCTGTTTACCCATCATTCTAACTGACTTCAGACTACTGACCTTCACTGCTTCTTGTTCCTCTATCAATCCCATTGTTCTTTGATACTTTTATTTTCTGGTATCATGAGGTCAATGTGCTCCCCATTTTTCTCTTGTTAGTAAATGTATCATTAAATGTAGCCATTGATGACAAACCCATCTATCTACATTTTTTCTTTTTCTTTTACATAATGCATGATTGTATGACAATTACTTCACTTTAACAGCAATGTAAGAGTAACATGGTTATATGGTTATTCACTAATGTGAAAATTGTCAGGAATTAAAAGTGAATTTCGAATTTTAGGCAAACAGAGCTCAACCTGAAGTACAAGATGTTTTCCAATCCAGCTATTTTGGCCTTAATTCACTTTGAATTCCTAAAAATTCTCAGTGTAGAAAAAACTCTGTAAACATTCGCATTCGACAAATTTAGAGGATTCTTATGAAGGCAATTTAATTATCAAAGTTATTTTGCACTGGAGGGCTCATTTCTTCATTTTCAGGTTACCCACAGCCAATGTATGCCTGAAGCTTAAATTGTTTAACTAATTTTGGATTCCCAAACATTTTTCTACTTGAACAGCTCTTAGATTTAACTTCTTTGAGCAAAAAAATAAGTTGTTTATACATATTATATATATGTATACATATATATATATATATGTATATATATATATATATATATATATACCAACAGAGTTGTGGTGGGGAAAAAAGTGTGGATGAAAACCCATTCCACCTGAAGTAAGTGGTTAGTTAATACATTGCTAAGCATAAATACACACACCGGGCAAGCCACAAGACTTGCTTTTCCCACAGAAATCTCACTTTAACAGTGCTCTCACTACTGCAAGGGATTCTGGGTAGGCATATGCAAATGAGCTAAACAAACAAACATATTTTTACCGTCTTAATTCCACTTCATACATGGATTCCTTGGAGTATGTGTCTGCTGTATACAACAGCTTTGAACACACAACTTAGGAAGAGGAGCAAAGCCAGTGAACCACTCATGGACAGCTGTTTCGTTGTTAATGCAATTCATCAGAATGAGGTTGATTACTGGCTTGCTATGGATGCTTGGCGTTACTTCTAAAGTACATACCAATAGAATTGTGATGAAATGTGGTTCTTTTTTTAGCTAATTTGCATACGCCTACCCAGAATCCCTTGCAGTAGTGAGAGCACTGTTAAAGTGAGATTTCTGTGGGAAAAGCAAGCTTTACAAAAATCTGCACACCAGTATATTTATATAAATATATATATGTATATATATACTGTATACTATTTTTTTTTATTTACATTTTTCTGTTTTGTTCTTTTAGTAAAAGTTACCATTGTAATTTATTTTCTTATCTACTTCAATGAATAGTTTTGCAATTGTAATGGTTTGTGCACTGTACCTCATCATTTACTTTTAAAATCTACTAAGCTTACCGCTGTTATAATACAAAAAGGACCAGAATGTCAATGTATTCCATTTTAAAGAGCCAGTGAGGAGAAGGTGATACCAGAAAAGGCATTGAAGAGAAAAGGCATTGAAAAGTTAAAGAAACACTATAGTGTTAGGAATACAAATCTGTATTCCTAACATTATAGCGCCCCTGGCACTAGTGGTTATACCCCTCCCCTCCCCCCCCCTGTTTAGCATAGAAAGTACTAAAACGCCCTTTTCACTTACTTTGTTCATGCACCGAGACTCACTCGGTGCTGCTTAACTCTCCTTCCCCAGAAAGCATCAACATTTTTTGCAGTCCAGTACAATAGCTATGTTAACAAGAGGTAGAATTGAATACATTACAATACACAATAAGATGAATTGATACACAAGGACATGAGAGATATACATAAAAGTTTAAAATGTAGCATTCTAGCACATTTATAGAAAAAGTACAGAGCACAATGGTCAGTGAGGTTATAATTCAAAAGAGACAATGGGGAATAAGATAATATAGCAGGGGATTGCTTTAAATGTGCAAGATTTTTAAGGCACGATACAACCACCATGTGCCAGTGAGAACTTGTGGTTGATCTCTGCATGAAGATGCTAAAGACACGAGACAGCCACACGTTGTCAGTGAGTCCTCATGACTGGCTTCTGCAGTAGGATGTTAAAGGGAGGTAGCATTACAAAATTATTTTCTTAGGTTCCAAAGATTGAGAAAAGTAGTGATCTTATGAATAATAAAGAGCTGCTTGTGGTTATGAAACTTGGTTGAAACCTAATACTGTGAAGTAGGTTTGCTTTGGAAGAGAAATGGTTCAGTTTTGGGAGCACAGTGCACAATGTTAAATGTGCAGATGGAGATTACTTTTAAATGTGGGCTGTGGTTTTTGAGAGTAATAGATATAACAGAGGTTTAGATGGAAGTTGTTGTATTATAGACAAAGTAGGTTAAAAAATGGGAGAAATTGCTCATGGCCAAGATCATTCAACAGCACCGCATGAATTATTCCATAAATAGGTTTTATTGATGGTTTTCACAAGTAGAGTTAGGAGTGGAATTCATAAGTGGAATTTGAAGTTGTACAACATGTGCATGTGACCACAGGACAGACTCTCTCATAGAACGTACTTAATTTTAACTACCCTTTTCTATGGCTGTCCTTCCCCTTTATTTGATCTTCCTCTTCCATTTTGATTGCATCTCCTGTCCTTCTATGTCCACAGTCACATTCCTCTCTCCCACCCATTTTATTCTCCTAGTTCCGGGATTCGTTTTCATGGTTCCAGTTTAGTATATCTGCAGTGTGACTGTATCAGGAATCCACTTGGGATGTGAATGGGGAAAATATTAGGTTTGGTTCGGCATTCTGAAATTCAGGACTTAGGCACTTCTGAACTTTGGGACTTCGGTTCGGGATGGTACTTCAGAACTTCGGTACTTCGGCACTTTGGCACTTCGGCAACTTCGGCTGTTGTCTTGCAGCCTCTTAGTAGATAACTCCCTAATTCCCACGGTATTAGGGAGCTATCTACCAAAAAGCTGAAAGACCTAAATTGGTCTTTCAGCCAAATTTACTAATACCAAGTAAAAATTACTTAGTATTAGCAAATTCTGTCCCTACTCGCTATACTGCGAGCATGTCTATTAAACAGGGGCATGTCTGTTAAAAAAAGGTTAAAAAAAATAAAAAAATGTCCCCCCTCATGAGCCCCCACCTGTGCCGTATGAGCTTTTAAACTGAAAGGGGGACCTATTGCCCCCCCCGCACCCCACCCCTGAGCGGCGGTTGGGGGCCCTAAAGAAGAAAAAGGGGGTGACCTATTGTCCTCCCCTCGGCCCCCACCCCTGAGCGGCGGTGGTAGATCGCTCCCTAACACCGTGGGAATTAGGGAGTTATCTACTTATTTATTCCCATCCATTGACTGGCTAAGTAACTTACATTTTATATGAATGTGTTACTTGATTGTTGTAAGTGTTGCAAATGCTTACAGCTGAATCCTGGCTATGTCTGTATACTTTTTATTTAGACTGGTATACAGTGTAACATTCTTCATTCTTCCACTGGGTATATTAGTAGTTCGGCAATTCTGTGCTTCGGAACTTCGGCACTTCGGAACTTTGGCAACTTCAGCACTTGGCCAATTCAGCTATTCGGAAATTCAGCCAAATTGACATTCGGAACAAAATGAATTGCACATGTCTAGAATCCACCAACCTCTATCACTAGTACAAAGCATTGATAGGTCTTGTTGTCAGTAACTGCTCCTTCCTGTGATGCAGGTACCTATCCAAAAAACATAGGTGGTAAAGGTAATTAGAGCATGTCTTTTTGTGGTGTGTTATATTTTTTCATCACCTCTTTTTAGAAGCCATGAACTATTCATTAAGTCTTATCAATCAAACTGTCTCTGCTAATCTGATTAACAGAACTCTGATGTTGTTTCCTGAAGTAAATGTTTAGGATGATAATGGAATTTAATACTAGGATATAAATATTCAGCTAAGTGTATGGCACATGATTTACAGTTTACTCACTACTGGAAATCCTATCATTCAGGTCAGTGCTTTAGGGGTTTAAACTAGTGTTGTTATTTGTTTTTTTTCATAATATTTCAATAATAAGTGCCAATGTTAATGATAATTTTGCTATATGTATTGACTTTTAAATGGTTTAAAAAAATATTGCCTTTTTTTTTTTAGTATTTTAAGTATAAATGATCTAAAACTATTTATCAAAACAGTGATTATTATTTAGCAAACCAAATAATGGTACATGTTTCTTTTAGGATGCATTTAAATTCGCTTTTATTTGTGCTTGTGATAATTGTGATCTGTGCTTCAGCGTCACAGTTCCTTCAACAAGAGTGGAACGCCTGGAAACTAAAACATGGTAAGTAAATTTGATAGCTAATGAATACAGTAGAGGAAATGGTTAGAAGTAAATATCCCCCAAAGAGTGTATGTTTTATGAACACATGGCTTATGTATATTCATATAATCATTATAGTAAAAATACATACATCTCACATCATTTATCTCAACTTGGAACATAGGAACAGGTGAAACTTCATCCAGCTATCACTAAGCACGTGGAATGAGAAAGAATATGAATGCAAATAGTACAGACAAATATTGTCAAATAAATTACATTTCCTTATTACGTTCAGATTGTGTGTTATGTTTGTATATTCATGAACTAATGTAAAGCTTTACACCTTACATGAATGGCATAGAATGTGGACCTTCTGATGTAGAAGAATCCCCAACAAATCTCTAGAATTAACAGAAAAACAAAAAATGCATAATGGCCTGACAGTGTACATTAGAAAATCGGTTGTTGGTAATTAAAAAAAAAATTAAACAATTTATGCACTTTAAAAAATATTTCTTTATTAACTATATGCATTATGCATTGTGCACTGGAATTGAAAAAGTGAGCTTTGTGTGAAATGTAGCTATATATTTGTATACATTTACTGCTTTTACTTGTTGGTATCATGGAAAAAGGGTCTTGTACAATTTAATAACAGTGAAGCAGATTGATGGTAAAAGATGCTGCAAATGCTAAGGCAACTTTATTTAGATTATTTGCCCAAATTATAAAAAGAATAACTGAAATGGAAAAGTTCTACAACTTAGTGTGTAAGATCATGGTCCATCAGTGATGGTCGCTGATTGAATATTTGTGCCTAAATATTGCAATCTGTATTTTAGTCCATTTTCTAAAATTCTGATTTTAATGTATAACCCTGTCTCTAAGAAAAGGCAACCTCAAAATATGTTACATTAATATAATAAATTACATATAATATAATAAATTAATATAATAAATTATGTATAATACTGGTGAAAATTATATAAATAGTATTGCCTATTATTCCATTAAGCAGACCATGGTTGATGATGTCACACCATCCAATAACTCTGTATTGTTTTTTTGCAACTAATCCTGTGCAGTGCAATTTAGTCCCTCTACCTTCACGTAAGTGCTTAGATAGTAGCTGGGAGACAAAAAGAGTATACACACAGTCACAAGACTTATAACAATTTTATACTCCATTTGATAGTTTGATAAAATTTTCAGCACGTTATAAAAATGTTCACAATATGTAATGATTTTGCTAACATATTCAGATTGAACTATATGATGTTTTGCATATCAGGGAAAAAATACCAACATTCTGAAGATGAGCTATTTCGAAGGAAGGCTTGGGAGGCCAATTGGGAAAAGGTTCAGAAGCATAATGAGCTGGCTGATCAAGGTCTCAAAAAATATAGACTTAGTATGAATAAATTTGCAGATATGGTAAGTTAATAGACTTTATCTGAAAACTATATCATAATGTTAGACAATGTTCCTAACTAATTACTATCAGATAAAAAATTCTGTCAATAAGTAAAGTCAATCTAGTAGTCAAAAAGTTTTTAGTATGGTCTTGACAACTTATGTTGGTCCTGCTTGGTTCCTGTCTTCTTCTGTAAGAGATTCCATATAGCTTTACATAGCTATGGAGAGTCATGTAGGGCCAAGTTATTTGGCTGAGAGTGTCAGCTGAAAGCTCTCAGATAATAAGTGTGGTCCTGGATCAGATGTGCTTTATTTTATAAAGATAGCTAACTTCTCATTCTGGAGAAGAACAGATACAGAAATGGGCACCCAGAGGACCCAGGTAAGTTATCAATCTATACTAAAAAAGTTTGACTGCTTAAAGTGGGACAGCGCCAGGACACTTCTGGCACCATACCACTACACTGAGCCATACTGGTTAGGGTGATTGGAGTGTTCCTATAATAGTAAACTGTGATCACTAAATCACAATAGTTTGAAAATAAAAAAGTTATACAAATTTTTCTCTAATTGTGCACTATATTTATTATGGTAAAGTGGTCAATGGATAAAAAATCTGAAGAAAGTTTCATATTCATTTACTTGAAATGTAGAACTACACATATCACTATAAAATGATTTATTTGTATACAACCCAAGTTGCTTTTAATGCACTTTATGTAGAATAGCAGCTTTGTTTATGATTGGTCAATCATACTTATATCGTATTACATAAAAAAAATTCTTATTGTATAATATGCTCATGTTTCAGACAGCAGAAGATGTGAAATCGAAGAGCTGCCTTATTCCTAAAGAATTACCATCTAAAACCAGCGAGGTTCCACAAATGCGTTATAGAAATAATGTTAACATTCCACAAGAAGTTGACTGGCGGAAAACAAAATGTGTGACCCCTGTAAAAGATCAAGGAAGTCTTTGTGGATCCTGCTGGGCATTTGCAGCAGTAAGTGAAACAAAATGCGTGTTTTTTTAATTTATTTTTTTATGTACACTATTATTTAAATAATGAAAAATATCTACTTGATAAAAATATTTTCTTGCCTAAGCTATTCCTGCACTTAAATTAAGCCTGCAATCCACATATCATCTGGATGAAAAGTTCTATTTTAGATAGGTATAAGTGCCATCTAAAGACTGATCTGGATCCCCTAATTTGTAGTTTTTACTGAATAATAATAGGAACAACCAGAAGAGGCTCAAAATTACATATGGCTATATATAATCAGAAAAGGTGTATATATGTTTCCTGAATGCAAATATACAACATATGTGAAAGCTGGGTTGAGTGGAAACCAAGAGGTTGGTCTAGGGAATAATTGAAGGTAGAAATTTAGTATTACAAATAAACTTGTTCTGTTGAAAGAATAGTAAGTAGATAAGAAAGACATCTGGGATTTGAAAGAGGTGTTCACAATTGTGCATTGACCACAAAATGATTTAAGGGGATCTATGAGGTGTAGAAATTATGGAGTAGGTAGAGTTAAGCTTAATATTGGGTCTTCACAAGCACATGGAGCAAAGGTGTTTTGGAACTGGAGCAGTCACATGGTCTTTACATGTGGGACCTTTCATTAAATTATCTCCCTGCAGTTCCTCAAGTAGTACCAGGACACAATATGCTGAGGGTACTAGATACACATAGATAGCTGTTTTCCTTAAGCGGTTGGAGCTGTTACAAATGCTGTAATAATGGTTCTGACAGTTTTATGGAGACTATCCTTTAGGTGACTATGTCACCAATAATAAAAAATTTCAACATCTATACAGCTCTCTGTGTCTGAATTTAATTTTATTTATTCAGTTTTTTAAAGTATTTATTTTTCTAAACATTTTAGTTTTCCTAAAATATAAAAAGAAAAATGTGGATTATATTTCCTTATGTATGCCAGTCAGGTTACAAAACTTGACAACAGGTGGGGCTTAAACAAGGCTTTTTTTCAGTAGCCAATTCTATTTAGTATTTTCTAAGCACTGCCTTCTTGAATCCTATTATACTATTCAAACAACTAATATAACATTTTTAATTGATTGGTGATCATTCTTAATGTATAGAATGTGAAATAGAATGCTGTTAATGTTTTTTTTAAGGTGGGCGCAATAGAAACTCGCTTGTGCCTAAAGAATGATGAACTCATTGCCCTGAGTGAGCAGCAGCTCGTGGACTGTGATACTAGTAATCATGGCTGCTGTGGTGGTTTTCCAATAGATGCATTAGCATATGTGGCAAAGCAAGGAGTAATGAAGAGTGATGATTATGAATATACACAGAAGGTAAGCCATTATTTCATTTAGTAGATATTACTTGGCATGAACCAACCTAGAGCTATAATTAAAACCACCCTGGATCACTTATTTGGTGCTGAAGAGCACCAGTAGCAAAACATGTGTGGATACTTACAACCACCCAAGAGGCCGCCACCCCCTACAATGCAAAGGAACCAGAAGCCCCCAATACCATTTATTAATCAACGGACCTCACAAATGTTTTTTTTTTATTCCATCACTAAGATTTAAGCTTATTATTCTAAATCAACAGGAGGTTGTAAGCAGAAAATTGTCACTGTTATACATTTTATTTATTTATTATTTATAAAATATTCTACCAGGAAAGATACATTAAAATTAAACGTGTTACACCGTCTATCTGTCAATAAGACAACTGGCCCTGTCACTTCCTGGTTGTTTCACTCAGTGACGCTAAACTCAAAAGACAGGTATTGCCCAGAGTACGTGCCTTGTAAACATTTCTCGTTGAGCTGCATTGGGATGTATGTGATTAAACAGCCTAAGAAGGTCTGGGCTGTGTTAGAAAGGGAGATTTGTAAAGAGATCTGTAATGAGATCTGCAGGTTTGGCTGTCTTTAGATAGACCCCCAATAAGAAAGTGTACAGTTAAATGTATGCATGTTTTCATTTGATATATAGACAAAATAGGGGGTAATCTGCTAAATTGAGAGTAGATAAAATAACATAGCAAATAACTGTGTGGAGATGGATCATATAAGATGTATTTACAAGTGGCCATTTACAAATTTAAAGATGCAAAACAGCCTTGTATAAAAATTCCTCCTTCAGTTCAACTTGATTCTTCCATCTTCATACCCCCATCAATAAACTTGGATATGTAGCTCAAGAGAGAATATATAAAGAAATTGAAGTGCACTTTCCAGAGTAAAGTATAAAAATAATTTAATAACTTACATATCAATATAAAACAATGCGTATTCACCACTGGGCGTAGTACGCAAGTCCCTGAAAAAGTCAGAGTTGAGGACAAAACGCGTCGGACGCCCAGTGGTGAATACGAATTGTTTTATATTGATATGTAAGTTATTACATTCTTTTTATACTTTACTCTGGAAAGTGCACTTCAATTTCAACCTCCCAAGTGTCCTTATTGAGGAGTGACAGTCCCTATTTTGTGCCCAAATCCCACTGTCCCGCTTTTCTATCCTAATGTCCCTCTTGTCTTGGAGCTCCATATTGTTGGTGTGTCTGAGTGTACAACAGAGCTTTACAGCAATAATACTCACAGTAATACGTTGTTAAACTACAATAAATGTGTTTAGAAATAAGTCTGTGTAAATAAGATACATTGTTCTTGTTCTAAATTAGATTTTAGATGCATAACTTGTTATTAGTAAATCACCTAAAATTTCTCAGAAATATCCCACCAGTTTTGTGTGTCGAACGATTGCACTGGAGTGGAGAGAGAGTCGTCAGGATAGCTCACATGTGTTGGCTAGGTAAGCATTGTAGTGAGGGTTTCTGGTGTTGATATTGGAGCTTTAATTCTGCTGCCTTGCCAGTGGGTTGCAGTGGCTTATACCCTAGGTGCCCCCATTATGTTTTGGGGCGAGGTAAGCCTGAGTTCGTTTGTGTGTGAGATATTGTTCCTGTGTGATGGGCCATGGCCTCTATATTTCAGCTGTGGGTGAAAATATTTGCAGTGACTATGTCTCTCCCATTTTAAGGTGTGTGAGGGTATTGGTTGGACAACGTCTTTTGGTAGTTAGTCCACTTAGTGTGGGCAAGTTTCATATGTTTCCTGTTTCCAAATTGTGAAGCAAACATGGCTTCATAGGACCAGTTGAGGGTAATTTGTTTCAAAAGAGCTGATTGAGAGGGGGCTAATAGTGATTTCCAGAGTTGGAATTAAGTTTGCCAGTGAGTCCATTGGGGTGGCCCGAGGCATTGGGTAATAATTAACCAGATGTACCTTAGAGGAGTTCCTCCAATAATTTTCAATAGGGTTTCTGTTCATATCTCATGAATCTGTAAGATGTTGTTTGGCATTTGTGAGTCAATACATTGATGAATAAAACTTCACAGAAAATACTTGGCATGCTGACTAGCTTCCTCCATGTTTTGTCATGAAGGTAGTGTTTTATGTCTGCAAATAATCATGCTTGCTGTACAATATATACAACATTAGCTTTAAATACAAAAGTCACTTGGAATTCCTACCAATTCTCACACACTGTGATTTCTTACTGGCAAATAGCCATGTCCAAGAAATATCAAGCCTGTCAATTAAAATGTTTACCAAGTTTTTAACCTATGTGTCAAGCATGCAAGCAATAACTGTATTTTTTATTCTTTTCGTTTCTAAATCATGTTTTATTATTTTGCTATTTGATACTTTCATTTTATCTGAAATTATATTTATAACCAGAAATTTATCTGTGAATATGATCCTGATGAAGCAATAAAACTAAATACAACTAAATACTACATATTGCCTGGTGAAATAAACATGGCAACCGCAGTAGCTCTCGAAGGACCCATCACTGTCGGGTTTGGAGTAGACATTGATTTTTTTCTGTACCTTGAAGGTAACTTTGTTTTGACAATAATAATAATGTAACTCACTTTTATTAAAATATTTAAACAAATATATTCATTCATAATCTAAGCATACATTCTAATATTATAATGAGATTATAAGAGTTGGTTCTAGTAGCAAAGACATTAGAGGAATGAAGAGTTTGTTCATTACGCAGTAAATTCTACTTAACTGACACTAGCATGGGTTGATCATTATTGATTGGTAATGCAACACGGGCAACACAGTCTCAGTTGAAAGAAAATTGGATGGTTTATGGTATATCTAAAAATCAAAGTAAGATCAGAAGACACACTCCCAAATTTCTAGAATACTAGCAAAGGGAAATCTTACCATTTTACTCAGACTTGGGGAGATATGGAAAGTCCTTCCTGATTCCTGAGTACTACATCTGGCCGCTTCTTCAACTAGCACGTTCTCTGTCTAGTGCATTGGTTCCCCAACCAGTCCTCATGGGTCACCAACAGTCCAGGATTGATGTATTTCCATGTTTTATTCCAATGGAGAGACTGACAAAACCTGGACTGTTGGTGGGTCTTGAGGACTGGTTTGTAAAACATTGGTCTAGGGGATGATCCAATTACATTATATATTTGTTTTGCATTTTGTTCTCAATCTCTTTAACTGTTACTTTTCTCCATTTTGGGGGGAGGGAAAGGGGGAAATAATGTTTCTCAGTCCTATTGAGTATTAACCCCTTAAGGACACATGATGGAAATATTCCGTCATGATTCCCTTTTATTCCAGAAGTTGTGTCCTTAAGGGGTTAATCTTAAATCATAATGATAGTGTGGCATGAAGTGAAGTATGAATGTTTAAGGCCTTTCAGGAGAAGATGATACATTTAAGATTTGTTCTTTTGCTTCACATTTATATCCTGTAACACCAGATAAACAGTATGTTGTAATTGTTGTCAGTTGTCAGTTCTATTTCATTGACATACTATAAAAAAGATGTGTATTTACATACAGTATATAATTCCATAGATAATAAGAATGAAAACAATGTATTCTCATTTCGATCACTCAAGGCAAATAAATAGATTTACCTTAAAACATGCAATATATTTTTATGAGCCACTTGCTTTTAAAATGTTTTTTAACAAGGAATTTGCTTTAACACGAAGGTACCATTATGTTATTTATATGTATTATATGTAAAATACTAAAATGTATTGGTATTTATTGGACCTCCATGCTTTCTATCCGAGCCATATGATGTTAATAGCTCTTTTATCAACTCAACAATTATTTGTTCTGGCAATATTGCACTATTTTTTGCTATATTTTATCTCTACAGATTTGTATTATACCGGCTCCAATTTATGTATGTATATAAAATGTATTGGTGTTTTGTTTAATTGCTACTCTTTGCTGCAAAACTGAGAGGATTAAGTTTCACTTAGTAGTGTCTCATCTGCAAGTGAGAGATTATGGAATGTCTGGAACATGTACAGAGTTTAGGACCTCTACCAAGCCGAGCAGTCATGCTTTTGGCATTATGTTGATGACAACTGTTCAATGACACCTGTTCTCTCTTCCATAAGGTTTTTGGAAGAAAAGTTTAATAGCAGCATTTAACCCACATTAAAACATTCTTTTTAATTAGAGTACTGTCAATTAGTTTTTTTCCTTTTTTTAGCTGTTATTTTGAAAACTGTATAAAGTAGATAAGCATTATTACTATTTAATATCATGAGTATTATTTCATAACAGGGATATTTGACGGTGATTGTGCACCCGAAGCAAACCATGCTATAATCATTGAGGGTTATGGGACTGAAAAAGGTGAGGATGGGGAAGATGAGGAGTACTGGCTAATAAAGAATAGGTAAGTTGTTGAATACAATTTGTTCATATTTTTTGGTAACATGGATATTATTGGAAAATACAAGAAAAAAAAAGATGTTTTACAATATAAAGTAAATTGTGCCAATGATCTATATATGCACAGATCATAGCATAACCATATGAAGGATTTGGATAGATTGGGGGACTGGGCACTAAAATGGCAGATGGAATTTAACGTAGAGAAATGCAAAGTTATGCACTTTGGAGTCGCCCTAAATGGTAGTGAATTAAGGATAACCACACATGGGAAGGATTTAGGAATTGTTATAGACAACAAATTAGGCAGCAATATGCAATCTGCAGTTGCTAAAGCCAGCAAGGTTTTGAAAATATAATTTTGCCTCTTTATAAATCGCTGGTAAGACCTCACCTTGAATATGCTGTGCAATTTTGGGCACCTGTTCTAAAGAAAGATATCATGGCACTAGAAAAAGTTCAGAGACGAGCTACAAAATTGATAAATGAAATGGAGCATTTTAGTTACGAAGATAGGTTAAGAAATGTAAGTCTCTTGAGTACTGAAAAACGACACCTCAGAGGGGATATGATAACATTATACAAATATATTCGGGGCCAGTACAAATCATTATCTGGAAATATATTCATAAACAGGGCTATACATAGGACACAAGGTCACACATTTATGCTGGAAGAAAGGAGATTTCCTCTAAGGCAAAGAAAAGGTTTTTTTACAGTAAGAACAATAAGGATATGGAATTCTCTGCCTGAAGAGGTGTTTTATCAGAGTCAATATAGATGTTTAAACTGCAATTGGATAAATTCTTGCAAAAACACAACATACAGGGATATCATTTCTAATAAGTGGGGTAATAGCTGCTTGATCCAAGGAGAGATGTGACTGCTATTTTGGGGTCAAGAAGGCTTTTTTTCTTAGTTTGTTGCAAAATTGGAAGTGCTTCAGACTAGGTTTTTTGCCGCCTTCTTTTGGAACAACAGCAGAAACGTATGTGAGGAAGGCTGAACTTGATGGACACAAGTCTCTTTTCAGCTATGTAACTATGTAACTATGTAACCATAAATGGTTTAGACCCTAATGGTCAGCAGTTGTCATGGACCTCATGGAACCATAACAACTTAATTCCAATGCCCTTAGGCTTATTTTAAATAGAATATATCATGAAAGAGAGACATTTACTGGATCTTTTGCTCTCTGTTTATATTATGGTATGTGAATATATATATATATATATATATATATATATATACATATATATACTTCTTCCGCACATATTACTTCATATTGTGTGTCAATGCTGTGTGCAGTGTGTGAATGCTGTGTGCAGAATGCAGTGTGTGAATACCTCCATTGCTCATGCCAAATTTTGATATGCATTTTACTATTTATAATAGGTTAGGCATAATACCTTACCTTAATACCTTAAGACATTTGTTCTGTATATATATATATATATATATATATATATATATATATAAAAATATTTCATGATTATATTTTATGTCTTTATATTTGTATCTCGCTAGTATACAGTTACAAGAAAAAGTATGTGAACCCTTTGGAATGATATGGATTTCTGCACAAATTGGTCATAAAATGTGATCTGATCATCATCTAAGACACAACAATAGACAATCACAGTCTGCTTAAACTAATAACACACAAAGAATGAAATGTTGCCATGTTTTTATTGAACACACCATGTAAACATTCACAGTGCAGGTGGAAAAAGTATGTGAACCCTTGGATTTAATAACTGGTTGAACCTCCTTTGGCAGCAATAACTTCAACCAAACGTTTCCTGTAGTTGCAGATCAGACGTGCACAACGGTCAGGAGTAATTCTTGACCATTCCTCTTTACAGAACTGTTTCAGTTTAGCAATATTCTTGGGATGTCTGGTGTGAATCGCTTTCTTGAGGTCATGCCACAGCATCTCAATCGGGTTGAGGTCAGGACTCTGACTGGGCCACTTCAGAAGGCGTATTTTCTTCTGTTTAAGCCATTCTGTTGTTGATTTACTTCTATGCTTTGGGTCATTGTCCTGTTGCAACACCCATCTTCTGTTGAGCTTCAGCTGGTAGACAGATGGCCTTAAGTTCTCCTGCAAAATGTCTTGATAAACTTGGGAATTCATTTTTCCTTCCATGATAGCAATCCGTCCAGGCCCTGACGCAGCAAAGCAGCCCCAAACCATGATGCCCCCACCACCATACTTCACAGTTGGGATGAGGTTTTGATGTTGGTGTGCTGTGCCTATTTTTCACCACACATAGTGTTGTGTGTTTCTTCCAAACAACTCAACTTTGGTTTTATCTGTCCACAGAATATTTTGCCAGTACTGCTGTGGAACATCCAGGTGCTCTTGTGCAAACTGTAAACGTGCAGCAATGTTTTGTTTGGACAGCAGTGGCTTCCTCTGTGGTATCCTCCCATGAAATCCATTCTTGTTTAGTGTTTTACGTATTGTAGATTCGCTAACAGGGATGTTAGCATTTGCCAGTGACTTTTGTAAGTCTTTAGCTGACACTCTAGGATTCTTCTTCACCTCATTGAGCAGTCTGCGCTGTGCTCTTGCAGTCATCTTTACAGGACGGCCACTCCTAGGGAGAGTAGCAGCAGTGCTGAACTTTCTCCATTTACAGACAATTTGTCTTACCATGGACTGATGAACAGCAAGGCTTTTGGAGATACTTTTATAACCCTTTCCAGCTTTATGCAAGTCAACAATTCTTAATCGTAGGTCTTCTGAGAGCTCTTTTGTGTGAGGCATCATTCACATCAGGCAATGCTTCTTGTGAAAAGCAAACCCAGAACTGGTGTGTGTTTTTTATAGGGCAGGGCAGCTGTAACCAACACCTCCAATCTCATCTCATTGATTGAACTCCAGTTGGCTGACATCTCACTCCAATTAGCTCTTGGAGATGTCATTAGTCTAGGGGTTCACATACTTTTTCCACCTGCACTGTGAATGTTTACATGGTGTGTTCAATAAAAACATGGCAACATTTCATTATTTGTGTGTTATTAGTTTAAGCAGACTGATTGTCTGATTGTCTATTGTTGTGACTTAGATGATGATCAGATCACATTTTATGACCAATTTGTGCAGAAATCCATATCATTCCAAAGGGTTCACATACTTTTTCTTGCAACTGTATTTTTTTTTTTTTTTTTCTGCAGGGCAAAAATGAATTGTATAGTTACAGCTGGTAACCGTTGTATAGTTACAGCTGGTAAAATATTGCCTATTACTGTACCATGTACTTGGTGGAAAAAGTAATAGTGCTACGTTTGCTGCTGAGTATACTCTGATTTATGCATTTACAGCATTGTAAAAGTAAATATACTGTATAGTACATATTATAAATGTTTTATGTTCAAACTCTTATGTATTTTTTTATTTTTTCATTTTATCTACAGTTGGGGTGAAGATTGGGGGATCCAAGGCTATGGCAAAATAAAGCGCAATGTGAATAAGTGTGATGTAGCAGATATGGCAGCAACAATTGATCTTATTGCATAAATTCTCAGCATTTTATATATCAGACGATCTCCTCTTCAACCACAAATCCATTCTTTACCGATATAGTTAACTTTTTTTTTAATAATAATAATAAAATACAGATATAAAAAAGTTACTTAATGTCTGTTTTTGATATGTGAAATTAGTTGACATTCTAAAATATCTGATGAATCTGATATCTGTTAGACTAGCTATCAGAGACGTTTTTAAGATCAAGAGTTAAAACCACTATCTCATGTAACTGACAAGCAGCAATGTCCTAGCAACAAGTCTTCTAACTGCCATGCTCGTTTAAAATTATGACCATGTAATTTTAACTGCTATATGTAATTAAACAGCTTTGATGTCGAGTATCTCTGAGTCTGTTACATAATTTCATATACACATAAAATGTTTTAATGATTTTAGTAAATGTTTAAATATATGTAAAATCTGAACAATATAATGTCACAAAAGTAAAATTCAGTTATCCTACTACTCACGATAAGATACTTGATCCCAAAGTAAAATCATTTGAAAAAAATCTGCATATATATATATATATATATATATATATATAAACGAAACCAAGAGGGCTCCACTCACCTGAACATGCATACATTATAGGGTGCTGCTGGGGCCAAAATATACACAATACAGAATCCAGCGCACTCGCTTATTCACTAAATAATGATTTCAAAATCTTACCGATTGTAATAGTTTTATTTAAAAACACCTCACCTAGGCAAAAATTAATGGGGGTTTAGTTACATTATATGATCATATATTGCATAAGCCTGCCACAACGTCAATGTACCCCATTCTTAGCAGGTCCTACTCTAGCAGCCTAATGCTTGCCCTTATAAGATTATAAGATTAATCCACTTACTTGGGAAATAACGTTCGGGCCAGACCAGTTGACTAGGGCATAGAATCTTTCAAATCTATGTTTAGGGAAACTTTCCTAAACACAGATTAGCTTACTTGTGAATGGAATCCCGCAATCTATGTTCGGAAAATCTTCCTTGAACATAGATTAGCTTACTTGCGTATGGAATCCCACTAATCTATGTTCGGAGAAAATTCTGCAAACATAGATTAGCAAACTAGCGACTAGTAACTAGGGTTTATATATGCCCTGTTTCCTTGAAAATAAGACATCCCCAAAAATAAGCCCAAACTTATTTTCGGGGGATGCTCGTAATATAAGCCCAACCCCTTAAAAAACAGGTGCAATTCTTTTTTTATTGGACTAACAGAATTTTGTAATGACAAGCTTTCGGGAGAACCTCCATTTCTCAAGTCTTAAGTATTTCTGAGCAAAGAAGACCCATAGAATTCAAAGTTGAGTTGTGATACAGGGGTTAAAGCGACATGAGTGCAGATAAGACACAGTTTTGTTGGAAAATAGACACCATTCTCGCAGAGGGTCCTAAATATCTTGTGTGGAGATCACAGATTGAGGGGGGAGAGAGAAAAAAAACAAAAAACAACAAGCAAACAGTGCAGAAGATGGTGCTAGAAGGGGAGAGTAAAAAAACAATTACTTATATTAAGAATGCACGAATTCCCATCCAAGAGTTACAGGATATGCATGAAGACTTATATCCAGCATACACAGACACACACATGTACATACTCCTATAAACAAGTAGTGTATATGTACAACTATACACAAGTACATATACAATATGCACAAGTACATACAACAATATACATATAAATACAACCAAATGCACAAATGTATGTACATGCACACTTATACATACATCCACACACAAGCACCAATACATGTACCTACACATATACAAATGTGCCTACATATAAATAAACCCATATACATATATATATATATATATATATATATATATATGTACACAAACACATTCACATATACATACAAGCACATGAACTCATATACACAAATATAAATGCACAGTCACGTATATAAGCATACATGTGAGGAAGGCTGAACTTGATGGACACAAGTCTCTTTTCAGCTATGTAACTATGTAACTATGTAAGTTCACATGCATAAGAGTATTGGAAAGCATAGGTCTACACATAGTACTTTGTATATTGATATAATAAACATGTCATCGGAATGCAATTTAACCCCTTAAGGACCAAACTTCTGGAATAAAAGGGAATCATGACATGTCACACATGTCATGTGTCCTTAAGGGGTTAACGTGTTGATACATATGACAGAACAGTAAGATAATGTGGGGGAGTGTTCATGTAAAGTGTTGGTAGTGGGACAGGAAACCCAAATCAATATTTAGTCCTCTACTGTTGCTGTTAAACAATTTGATCATTCTGGTTTCAAATGTTTTTCTTTCTTGTGTATTTTTAAAACCCCCTTTCAGTACTTTGATTTTTAGGTCCTTGATTCAGTGGCCAGGCTGGGTAAAGTGGTGTCCCACAGGAGGGCAGTACGATCCTTCTTTGTCGTGTCTAACGGAGTGCCTGTGCATATTCATTCTGCCATTTAATTGCTGGGTGGTTTCCCCAATGTGGCATCCTAGGTGGCATTTGGTGCATTGAATCATGTATACCACATTGATGGATGTGCAGGAGTATGAACCTTTAATGCTGTAGGTTTTATTGTTGTGTGTGACTGTGTTGTCTGTGCATATGTGCTGACACAGTTTGCAGCAAGGTTTTTTGCATTGACTGATCCCATTTTCTTTATTCTTCCCACCAGTGCGCAGCTTCCTGTTGATTAATCTTTGTTTTAGGTTTGCTGGTTGTCTGAAGGCCAAAATGGATGTTTCAGAGGAAATGTTTTTCAGAGTCTCATCTTCTGTTAACATTGGTTGTAGGTCTTTAATGATTTTCCATATTTACCCAAGAGCTGGGTTGTACATGTGTATATATACATGTATACATATAGATATATACAATTTCTAGATATGTCAAGCTTAAGCCATTGTAGCATTCACAATATTGGAGCAAAAGGACAAGTCTCCTGGAATCTCTACTCCACATTGGTGCAGCAAGTAAAGAATATATGTGGTGGTGGGGGGCTTTGATAATAATCCCAGACCTAATCTGTAGTATAAATTAAACCATAAGAGGTGTATTTAGCCTCAATGAAAAAATAGTTTCTAAAACAAATGGTGATATTTTACATTACCAGGTTTAACCCCTTAAGGACCAAACTTCTGGAATAAAAGGGAATCATGACATGTCACACATGTCATGTGTCCTTAAGGGGTTAAAGGACAGGAACACTCCACCCTGGCCACTTCACTGAGATGATGTGACCTAAGTGACTTTAGTGGTTATTTAAAAATAGAAACATATGTTCTTAAAAGCTACTGCGTATTCTCTGCTCGTCCATATTACTCCATATGGAGAGCGGATACTTTATACTTTATGGTAAAAAACGAAATAAATGACAAGCAATCCAAAATCTTAAACACATGCCAATTCAGCAATTCGGGATTTCGGCAATTTGGCACTTCAACACTTCAGAACTTCGGCAACTTTGGAACTTCGGCACTTCAGCACTTCGCACTTCGGCACTTCGGCAACTTCGGAACTTCGGAATTTCGGAACTTCAGCATTTTGGAATTTCGGGACTTCGGCCCTTCTCTTGCAGCCGCTTAGTAGATAACTCCCTAATTCCCACGGTATTAGGGAGTTATAGAGACAAAAAGAAAAAAAGAAAATACTAATTCACCAACACAAATGCCCAAATGGGTATTGTGCCAGGAAAAAGACGTACAACCCTATAAAAATGTACTTAATGACTAAAAAAAGATATTTACAGCATAATTTATTAATAAAGCTAAAACACTTAGTCTCCTACCTAATAGGTACTCAAGTGGGGTGGGTATAAATGCCTATATCAAAGCTAAAGGTAACTATCAGGGATAATCCAAAAGGAAAACTACGGTAGAGGTATAATGCCTAGTCTGAGTAGGTAAAGAGGGTATCAAAAAGGACGCATAGTAGGTATCTGGCGAGTATAAAAGTACTCCATCTATACACTACACAACCCTAGGTAATCTAAAGACCTCTCTATCCATTGATACATACTGTCCACTAAGTGCTACCTAACGGAATCCCTGTTACCTCAGCATAGCATAAAGCTAATGCCTACCAACACTACTAGTCCTATAGAGGGAATAAATAAACGAACAAGTGCTACATATTAGGGAGTTATCTACCAAAAGGCTGAAAGACCTAAATTAGTCTTTCAGCCAAATTTACTAATACTAAGTAAAAATTACTTAGTATTAGTAAATTCTGCCCCTACTCGCTATACCGCGAGTAGGGGCATGTCTATTAAACAGTGAGCAGCCTGTGGCTGCTCACTGTTAAAAAAAAAAAAATAGGGTCCCCACTCCCGAGCCCCCACCCGCCGCTCAGGGGTGGGGATCAGGAGGGAGGACATTAGGTCTCCCCCCTTATTCCAATTTAGGTCCCCCCCTCATTAGTATTTAGGGCCCCCACCCACCACTCAGGGGTGGGGGAAGGGGGGAGGACATTAGGTTCCCCCCCTTATTTTACTGTAGGGCCCCCACCCACCGCTCAGGGGTGGGGGTCAGGGGGGAGGACATTAGGTCCCCCCCTTATTAGTATTTAGGGCCCCCACCCACCACTCAGGGGTGGGGGCCAGGGGGGAGGACATTAGGTCCCCCCCTTATTAGTATTTAGGGCCTCCACCCACTGCTCAGGGGTGGGGTCAAGGGGGAGGACATTAGGTCCCCCCCATTTTACTGTAGGGCCCCCACCCACCGCTCAGGTGTTCCCCCCCTTATTAGTATTTAGGGCCCCCACCCACTGCTCAGGGGTGGGGGCCAGGGGGGAGGACATTAAGACCCCCCTTATTTTACTGTAGGGCCCCCACCCGCCGTTCAGGGGTGGGGGCCAGGGGGGACAATTCCCCCTTCAGGTTAGAAGCCCCCACTTGTGCAGCACGGGTGGGGGCTCAGGAGGGGGGGACCTTTTATTTTTATTTTTTAAGTGAGCAGCCATAGGCTCACTGTTTAATAGACATGCCCCTACTCACAGTATCGCGAGTAGGGGCATAATTTACTAATACTAAGTAATCTTTACTTACTATTAGTAAATTTGGCTGAAAGACCAATTTAGATCTTTCAGCCTTTTAGTAGATAGCTCCCTAATACCGCGGGAATTAGAGAATTATCTACTTATTCATTCCTGTCATTACACTGACTGGCTAAGTAACTTACATTTTATATGAATGTATGTTACTTGATTGTTGTAAGTGTTGCAAATGCTTACAGCTGAATCCTGGCTATGTTTGTATACTTTTTATTTAAAATTGTATACAGTGTAACATTCTTCATTCTTCCACTGGGTTAGTATATTAGTTCTTAGGCAATACTGTGCTTCGGCACT